AAAAAAAAAAAAAGCTATGTGCTTGAAGTGAAAGACATGCCTAGTTTTTTCATTGTCAGTCAGCCAATCGGGCATAAAACCTAATGAAACATAGAACTTAGAATTCCTGGTGTAGTGATCGATTGGAGCATCACTCCTAAACGAATAAGTTGATGGTTTCAAAAGATTTTGCTACATAAACTAATTCATGCGTGAAATAGTCCGTAGTCTGTCTAATTCATGCGTAAAATAGTTCGTAGTTTATTAACCTGAATCACAAAGCCACACCACAGTTGTTGAATCAAATATCGCCACCAGACTATACAATAAAGTCAACTCACTTCTGCAATAGTACGTCGCTTTCACCCATGTAATTATTACTAATTTTCTTGGTGCATGTAAGAAACACCGCAGTCCAAGTGCAATCATCCATCAGACCATATCAAGCTATTAACCCTTAATCTCTTTGATAAAATCAACACATGAATAATAACTCAAAATTTGACACTTAACATCTAATAATTGGATTAAGCCAATATAAAGTTACTTCTCTTTTCCACAAACAACCTAAAACCGGGCAATCAATAGGATTTGATGATGTATCAAATAAGGCAAAAGTACTCCAAGTCATCAAATTAATACTTTAGTTCCCATAAAATATACCTATTATACCTTTTTGCAACAACCAACTTACTGCAAGAATTTCTCAATGGCAGTTGTCTTTATGCACAAATATAAAGTTACCCGTCACCTAATGCATTTTCCATTGATAAAAAAACTCGTATACATAGTTTATGGTGTATTGGTGTGTGATACCCTCTCACAATAAATAAATAATGAAATTTAATTTAATCGTTCATTATTAGTAACTTCTCGTTCACTACATCTTTAACCAATGCCAACATGAAGTAACATTAACATATGAAAATTTATGAAAAATTGGCAGTATGGATATGTAATTACCTAAACGAAGATTTCATCACTGTCACATAAAATAGCATGAATAATGAATCGGTAGAAAACTTCATTGATAAAATTCCAATGTTCTAAAGAGATGCATAAGTGTACACATACCCACCTTATGAACTTTCAGTATAAAAATAGCTTTTCGACTCTAGAAATATTACATTCAAGTAATTCATCGACATGGATTACTTCCTTCTAGACTGTTCAATTCATCACAAACCCAACAACGTGTGCAACCCATAAAGGCAGAAAAAGGGAAAGCAATCGACACCCAAACCCAACGCTCAATATGATTCATGATGTAAAAATCAACATAAGACGATATAAAATACAAAAAAATTGAAAAAAATTACCAGCCAATGTATTTTCCGGGCAGGAGAAGAAAGAGAAAAATAGGAGAAATTGTCGCTGACATCATCGACCTCCTTCCTCTTAAATTTCATCGGACCAAAACCCTCCATGACTTCCTGTTATTTTTTTCCAAAATAGAACTCCAGGTAAAAGAACAAAATAAACCAAGGCAAGATTCACGATCAGAAAAAGAACAACATATGGATAAAAATACTTGAAAAAGGGGAAAAAAAAAAAGAAAGAAAGAAAGATAACAGTGCTTTACCTTCAACCCAGAGCTGCAAAAGCTGGAAAAAAAGTACAAATCTTTTAATCGGAAGCTTCTAAAATTGGAATAAGAAGAAAACCTCGGTGAATTGACTATCCCGACCTTTGAACTGTTGGGCAAGATTCTTCCTCTTTGGCTCGCTACGCCTCTGGTTGCCACGGCACGGCTGTTGACCTTGACAGGTGGCGAGGGATGGTTTCACGGCGATTTTTTCTCGGGCTAGGGTTGGTAAGAGGGAGGGGAGAGTTTGGCCGATGCTTGCTCTCAGACATTCAATTGTTTTGCTGATGCCGGTGGAGGACACTTGGGGCTGCACGTGATCGCCGGAACGAAGGAGACGGTCTATGTGCAGGTTGTCGCCAGTAATGAATGGATGAGGGATTTGTGTGTATAAGCGGAGAGATGGTCCGTGAGATATAAAAATGCACTTGCGTGTTTAACCCGAAACCCAAGTTACACAATACACCCATTTTTTTCAGAAACAATGGCAGACACAAAGCAGAGACGCACGAAAATGAACCCATACCGAAATCCCATAGGGAATTTACATCGTGCAAAAAGATGAGGGAAATAATTCGTACCCAGATTCTAATGGTCAGTCAACAACACCGATAAGCGGTGTACGCTTTTTTCTCAGCAGGATATCCCCACAGGATATCCAGTTGAGGTATAGAAGGACAAACAGGGAACTCAAGCGTATCCAAAAGTTAGTGGCAGATGCCTATAAACATAGGAAAATGAAGACCCTTTAAAACGGACAAAACATGACTAGTGTCAGCCCAGAAAGCCTCTTGTTGTTGCCTTATATGTATTGGAGATATATATATATATAATATATATTATATTATATATATGTATATATACCAAACATATCAATAGATGGGGCGATTCGGGTGAGATCCAATGTAGATCCAACTTTCGATTCATTCGTGAAATCCGGGCGGTCCGGGGGGGACAACCATGGCTCCTCTCTTCTCGAGAATCCTTACATCCCTTATCAGTGTATGGACAGCTATCTCTCGAGCACAGGTTTAGGTTCGGCCTCAATGGGAAAATAAAATGGAGCACCTAACAACGCATCTTCACAGACCAAGAACTACGAGATCACCCCCTGGGGTGACGGAGGGATCGTAAAACGGAAAGAGAGGGATTTGAACTCTTGGTACAAATAACTCGTACACCGGATTAGCAATCCGACGCTTTAATCCACTCAACCATCTCTCCCAATTGAAAAAGATAATTACCAAATTACACATAATGTAAGGAGTCTTTCTTTCTCTAGTCGATTCTATATAGGGATATATCAGAAAATCAGGAATTTCCTTTATCTAAAACAAAAGAAAGGCACCTAACGCATTACCCCAAGGGTGTCCTGAAGTTCCTCTGTCGAACTGTAGTACGGAATCATCCCCAAAGATCTCGGTCAGAGCAGGCATATGCCAAACGTGAATACCCCCTAAAGCCACAAGAATAACACCTGGTAGAGAGACCCAATTTTGAGTGAAATAAATACAGCGACTTCGATCTTTTTCAATAAAATCATCACGCAGTAAATCAACAAAGCCCAAAGTGATTGTCTCTTTCTCCTCATTCCTAGAGAACTGAAAAATGGTGGATTTTTAATCCACAACAGACCCTATCCTTCAAGCCGCATGTTGCTTTATCCCACATCGTTTCAAACGAAGTTTTACCATAACATTCCTCTACTTTCAAACCGGTATGGGATTGATTCAATCGTGGAATCATGAATAGTCTGTAGACGACGTTCTGAACCCAGCTCACGTACCGCTTTAATGGGCGAACAACCCAACCCTTGGAACAGACTATAGCCCCAGGTGGCGAAGAGCCGACATCGAGGTGCTAAACCTTCCCGTCAATGTAAGCTCTTGGGGAAGATCAGCCTGTTATTTCGCCTGTTATTTCTAGAGTAACTTTTATCCGTTGAGCTCTTGGAAAAGATCAGTCTGTTATCCTTAAAGTCGTTCACAATTATGTTCAACTCCAACAAGAATTCAAGAAGTGGATGGATCAACATGGCCGAGTGTAAAAAGATGACGCGGAGAGGGAGTTGTAGTTTGTCGCGTCCAAAAAGAAGAAAAACTCGTTGAAAATCAAAGCCTTCAATTCAGGCCTGGACCATGGCTACAAAGTCGCCGTCAACGGTTTTGCGGAGAAGGATCTTAGTCCTTTACTATGTCACGTGATGGAAATAAGGCCAAAGAAAGATTTAAGGTTTAATAGTTTGATTAGTAATTATCTCCAAAATAGTTAGGACAGAAGTGGTAAAGGTGCGGTGATTTCTGAGAAGGACCAAATCAGTTGTGGTATGTATTTTATTATGTAAATTAATATAACATTTTTTATTTATTGTTAACAAAAAATGATAATGTTATAATGACATATATGTTTTGTAATTTTAAGGAAGTTGCGGGGATTTCGCTGCTGTGGCTGTGGTGGAGGGCATCAAACATATCGTTACGGGACAGTTTGTCTCCCTTTCAGAGCAACAAAGACTGTGACAACAAGCCGAATAGCTGCAAAATCGGGGTTCGATCGGACTGGGCTTACTAATTCATCATTCAAAACGAGAGAATCGCGGGGGAGTTCATTTACCAGTACGAAGACCGCCACAATCCCACATGCAATAATGACACAAAACATTGTTATTAAGATATCGGGTTACTTTATGCGGGTTACTTTATGCTCCCATAAAAGGACGAGTGCCCTGCTGCAGTTGGTAATTAATCAACCGGTCTCAGCTGCGGTAGACGTCTCCAGTTTTGAATTCAGATATTATGGTGGCAGTGTGTGTTTTGCGGAAGATTGTGGGACAAATTTGAGTCATGTTGTCACTATAGTCGGCTATGGTGTGAGGGAGGGAAGGAACTAAGTTTTGGCTGCTGAAAAACTCTTGGGGAGAAGAGTGGGGAAAGGGCGGGTACATGAGAATGAGACGCGATGTACCTCAAAAGGAAGGACTATGGTATAACAATGGATGCATGTTAGCCTACTTGAGATGCAGGGTCGGCTTTTGGAGCAAACAAACAAGGACCTTGGTTGCTTGCCCAAAAAGCCGGCCCTACGTCTAAAGTAGGGTAACATACATCCATTGTTATACCAGATAGCTCTTCATTTTGAGACACATCGCGTCTCATCCTCATGTACCCGCCCTCTCCCCACTCTTCTCCACACGTGTTTTTCAGTACCCAAACCTTGGTTCCTTCCTCCCTCAAACCATAGCCGACTACAGCGACAACATGACCCAGATTTGTCCCACAATCTTCCGCAAAGAACACACCGCCACCATAGTATCTGAATCCGAAACTGGAGACGTCCACCGCAGTTGAGACTGACTGAGTAACCACTAACTGCAGCAGGGCACTCTCGTCATTTCGTAGGACCATCAAGTAACCTGATATCATAACGACAACATTTAGGGTCATTATTGCATGTGGGATTATGGCGGTTTTCGTACGAGTAAATGAACTCTTTCGCGATTCCCTCGTTTTCAATGATGAATGAGTAAACAATTCCGGTCGACTGCCAATTTTGGAGCTATTCGGCTTGTTGTCACAGTCTCAGTTGCTGCTCCAAAAGGAAGACAAATTGTCCCGTAACAATCTGTTTGATGCCTTTCACCCCAGCCACAACAGCTAAAGCATCGCAACTTCATCAAAATTACAAAACATATGTATCATTATAACATGATCATTTTTTGTTAACAATAAATCAAAAATATTATATTAATTTGCACAATAAAATACATAACACAATTGATTTGGTACTTCTCAGAAGTCACCGCGCACCTTCACCACTCCAGCCCCAACTATATGGGGGATAATTACTAGTCACACTATTAAACCTTAAATCTTTCTTTCACCTTGTGTCCATCACGTGACAAAAAGGACTAAGCTTCTCATCCGCAAAACTATTGATGGTTGGTTTGTAGCCATGGTCCAAGCCTGAATTGAAGGCTTTGATTTTCAATAAATTTTTCTTCTTTCTAAACGTGGCAAACCGCAACGCCCTCTCTGCGTCATCTTTTTACACTCGGCCATGTCGATCTGTCCAATTCTTGAATTCTTGTTCGAGTTGAACATAGTTGTGAACGACTACGATTACTAGGAATATAGATACTATTATTACTTTCATTGAGACTGAGAGGGACATTGTATGTAATTTTTAGTAATGGAGTGGGCCCCATAGTTGTGAACGTCTACGACTACGACCACTATTAACACACGCCCACACACACGCACACACACTCTGCACACACACACACACATACCAAAATTAAAGCAGTGGGCCCCACGTCCTAACACAAAATCACACATCGGCACAGTTTGCACACTATCTCTCTTTCAGCCTGTCACTACTCACTTCATCTCTCAACGCCGGCATTAGAACCACCACTCGCCGCTGCTCTCGACGGAGCTGAACCACACACTGCCATCGGACACACACGCAACACAACCTCCGCGTCTTTGTCACCGCCTCCGCCATGTCTTAGCCACCATTGAACATCACATGACAATTTCATCCCATTCCTTCGTCGTCGCCGCGTCTTTGTCGGCCGTCATGATTATTATTATTATTATTTATATTTTTATGTATCAAGTGTACACATTATGTTTATACGAATTTCACATTAATAACTATTATATTGCAGAATATCAAACGAAAACAACAAACTAATTTTTTTGGCTACGAAAAGTTTACATTTCAGCTTGATTATTGTTAATTTATTTTTCTACGTTTAGAAAACTCGATTATTCTGATTTGATGACATTTTTTATTTAAATTACATAAATAACTAAATTACCAAAAATATATAAAAAATAATACTTTTTTATATATAAAGTTAACATTTATTTAACAGCCAATAGAATATAAATATATTAAATTAATAATTATGTTTTGATTAATTATACATTTGACACGTAGACTTAATTGTAATATATTATACTTTATGGAATTGCCACTAAGCCATTAAGACATAAAATTTTCAAACATCAACCGATTCTATGTTGGAAAAAAAAAACAAAAATAAAAATAAAAAACCACAGTGCATTCGACCCGCATGAATCACGGAGCCTTTCTCCTCGACATTGCCGCCGCATCCGCCACCCTGAGAGAAGACGAAGGTTGTGTACTGCCTTGCCGCCGCTACCGCCATTCTCATCGGACTTGACTAACAAAGTCAGCCGTTTTCGTGGTGCACTGGAGGACGTCGCCGCCGTCGCTGGAGAAGAGGAAGTCCTACGAGAGGTGAAGTCCGTCTCGAACCCGCAGGAGGCGAAGAGGTCGACCACAAGCGCCACCGATTTCTTCCGCCGTCTGTCAGTTTTTCGGGACGGTGCTTACCATTTTTCACGTCCACCGGGATGTCGTCGAAGCTAACCGGCGGAGACGCTGTCGCCGGAGGAAAACAAGTTGTTTGGCAGAGAATGTGTCGTCGGGTCTGATAAGCAGCAAGAAGCGGGCGGTGGCGGTCGGAGCGGGCGGCAACGGGCACTGACTGGTGGCAGTGGAGGTATTGCCGGAAGAGCGAGACATGTGTGTGAGTGTGTGAGAGAGGATGTTTGGTGCGTGTATCTGTGTGAGAGAGGAGAAGATGTTGATGCGTGTATGTGTGTGAGAGAGAAACGAATGTTTGGTCATTGTTGTAGTAGTAGTGGGGCCCACACGTAATATAAATGAGTGTAATTGTGTGATTACCATTATAAACTTATTTATTTGTTAAATGTGTATATTTTAATCGCAATTGTACATCTATTTACAACATTGCCACAATAGGTTTGACTGTCATGTTCAATTTTTGACTTTCATTGATATGTTAGATCCAGTGATCCATATTCATTCTTATTTCTTTCATTATCTCATTTCTCATATGATTCTCTCTCTCTCTCTCTCTCTCTCTCTCTCTCTCTCTCTCTCTCTCTCTATATATATATATATATA